TGAAAGGAAGTATTACAATAACATTATTATGAGAGTTACAATGCACTTTATACACTTAATTTCAATTATTAATTCTATGAGAAATAATCGACTGTAAATGTGATTCAGTCAACTTACCCATTTACTTGGTTCCCAATAATATCAAAAAGCCAGTAATTCACGTAGTAAAAAAAAAAGTATTAACTTCCTTGAAACGTATTAAATATATATGTTAAGTTATTTTGTGTGATAACAGACACTCATTTTTTTCTCAACTGTGAAACAAGTCACTTGTGGAACGGAAGGTAGTTAGATTTTCAATTTCTAAGAGGAATTCATAATCTTTGAGGCAGACATTGAACATAACTGCAGTTCAAATTCCACAAAAATTTTAGGTTGGAATTCTAACATATTCTATAAAACGTGAAGCAATTCACAAGTTTTATTGAGCAAAGTAACATACCATTCCTTCTTCTAACAAAGTCATAATCGTTTTCAATTTTTTTTACTTATATTAATGTATAACTTATTTATTTTATCAAAAGTTGGGACTTTTAAAACCATTTAAAAAATTAGTGTCTTTATTGGCTTTTTACAGAAAATATATTTTCTTATTATTGTGTTTTAATTGTGTTAATCATGATTTTCATCTTTTAGGCCTGTGTCATATCATCATCTTTATTAGATATATTTTTTTAATATTGAGAAGTGAAAATTCAAGGTTAAAAAATATAAACTATTTATCATCTTAAATTAAATGTACATAAGTTTGTGTTATTAATTATTAAACTTTATATATAATAATTATTTTTATTTATTGATAAAAAATATAAAACAACACAATTATTTATAGGCATAAAGCATACAATTATATACGTTGATAATTTCTTATATATACATATATTCATTCTTCTGTGAATGCACTATTTTCTATTTTTAAGGATATTTTAAAAATCAACAAAGAAAACAATAAATTTACAATTATGAATGTTTGTTCATGCTCGATTAATTATTAGTTTTGCAGAATTTCCAAGATTTAATTTATTACTCTTATTTTTAAATTAATAATATCACCATATAAGATGATTTCACTTTCACCAAATGAATTCTCCTCATTATTTTACCTTGGGGAACGGTAAGCCTCTCCATTGTTGTTGAATGAATTCCATTATTTCTGTAAATTCCATTTATACAAAACGAAGCTAAAGTGTTTTAATCGATTTAAGTTTATAAAATTCAAGTGTTTAATAGGGTGCAATTTTATTAAATTGAAGTGTTTCAATTAAAAAGTTGAGAATGCCACAAAGTTTTTCATAAAAAAGCATAATAGGGCGAATTTATGTTATGAGACTATAGAAATCAAAAACTTTTTATTTATTGATAAAAATATAAAAAAAAATTATATAGCATAACATAAATATAGTTGATATTTTATTATTATTATTTTTTTGCAATTACTATTTTAAGGATATTTTAAAAAACAAAAAAAATAAATTTTCAATTATGAATTTGTTCATGCATAATTATATGGAATTCAATTAAATTACTTATTTTAAATTAATAATATCAACCATAAAAAATTCATTTACAAATGAATTATACTAGAATTCATTTATGAATGAATTCCATATTCTGAATTCATTTATACAAAACGAAGCGTAAGTGTTTAATCGATTTAAGTTTATAAATTCAAGTGTTTAATAGGTGCAATTTTATAAATTGAAGTGTTCAATAAAAAGTTGAGAATGCCACAAGGTTTTTCATAAAAAGCATATAGGCGAATTTATGTATTGAGACTATAGAAATCAAAACAAAGAAAGTATTACAATTTAAACCCATCAAATGTTATTAAAATCGAGTTGGATATCTAACAGATTTGATTAGTAGATCGTGGTCAAAATGGACGAATTCGATCCAATCAAATTTTTTTTATTTTTTTACTTTTTTATAATTATTTATATTTTTCTTTTTTTTGAAGTTACAGTGATTTTTATAATTAATTTTCATTTCGTAATTTAATTCAATTTTTACTTACGTCTTATATTTTTGATTTATTTTGTTTAATTTTATTCACTTATTTTATCAGCCTTTTTTTATTAAAAGGAAAAAGAAAGAATAAAACCACATCTATATATATCTATAATCTAATACTATATACAAATGTGGGAATAGGGAGAAAAAATGGATTTCATATAATATTCTTAGATTAATTTGGAATTCCTAATATATCCATTTAGTTAGATTTTTATGCATTTTAATTGAAAAAAATATATCCATTTATCATTTTAAAGATCCTTTTAGATGTATTTTAATAGATTCCATTTATCCTTTTGAATATCCTTTTAGTTATATATTATGCATTGTAATTGGAGAAAATATTTATATCTATTTTCACTATTTGATCTTACTGTCTAATGATATTTAATAGACTTTGATGTTGTTAATTATAGGTTGTCACATGATATTGTTTTATAAGAGATAAATCGAAAATCTTAATTCACATATTAAAAATGAAATTTAAAATTTTCAATTAATTATTTTTTGAATTTTTTAAAATATAGTAAAACACTTTACGATTAGACTCTACTGCTTAAACATGATGAAATTAAAATAAAATTTTAAATATATTCTTTCTCTTTGATTTCTTTTTTAAATAATGGTGTACACTTATTTGGACTATTTACACGTTATCGTATTTTAAAATTTTTCATAATTCTAATTTAGAAAACACAATGGAAATATGGAATTATCTTCAAACTGTGTTATGGTAGATAATTATTTATGGATAAAATTCAGTAATTTAAATAATTCAATATAAATAGTTTATATTAATATAGATAATTTATAGTAAAATGTTAATTAAAATACTTCAGTTGCCCAATCACGACACTAAAAATAAAATAAAACTTCAAAATTTCTGAAAAAAGAAAAATAAAATATTGACCAAAGAAGAGCTTTAAATCATTAGTGAGAGAAGTGTGGTTGCTGTTTCCATTAAGGTTCAGTGATGTAAATGCAGAGGATGGCTTTCTGACATGGTTTAGAAATAAAATGCAGCAGTTGGAAGACCCTCTAATCAAGCTCATTGCGATGGTATCTTGGGCCTTTTGGCGGGCACGCAATGTCCTTATCTTCCAAAATAAGCATCAGCTCTTGACATTTGTATAATATAGCTTTTAGTGTTCTATTTGAGTCCCAGGATGTGTTCAACTATAAAAAAATTAAATACCGAACAGATACATTTTTATAGATCCATTTTTATAGAAATTTACCTGCTAATTACCGACAAACAAACAGCGACAGAATTGAAAAAAGTGCAAAATGTTAAAAGAAGAAAAAATAATGACACAATTCGGTAGGCATTTAGTCGCTAATTAGCGAAAAAAATCATTTTGTAGGTAATCAGTAGGTAACGTTGACGCCAATGTTTGGCGGGACAAAATTCCGGCAGAAAAAAATTAGAAAAAAAAAAAAATCTCGCACTCTCAGAATCTCTCTTCCGCAAAAATTCTTCAAACGCTAATCTCTGCAACTCTCTTTCGTTCTTCTCTGCAACTCTCTCTTCCCGAAATTGGAGGTAACTCAATTTATTTGTAATTTATTCGTTTCTAAATCAGTAGGTTGTTTATATGCACGATGATGGTGCTTTGATTCTGTTTGTCATTATGGTTGTATAAATGACACATTATGTTCTTCATCTTATTATCAGTTCACTTTTGGAAAGCGTAATCGTTACTTAAAATTTATTTAGATGGTTGATGATTGTTCACTTTAGAACTATCAGAACTATTTTCAGATATTATGGAATTATGATTGAAAAATAAAAACTATTATTATGGATTACTGAATTAGAAGTATCATGAACTTAGTGTTAGAAATAAAACAAGACAAAGATAGAAGAAAATTTAAAATGCAAAACAAGTTGGAAATCATTATATTCTAAATGTTTCAAGGAAAAGAAAAAAGAAAATTTGTTTGATGATTGATTGCATTTCAACATTCTTTCTAATAATAGCTGCTCAGTTATGATGATTATCTGATCCCAAGACCTGAAGGTAAATATCTCCATATCATATTCCAATACAAGACTAGACATGAAAAACAAATAAGCAAATCCAAACAGGATTTTATTATCCTCAACTACATTAAAAATCACCTGAATTGAGTAAAAGATAGAAGAGGAAGATTGAGAAATATTGGAAAACTCCCTACAAAAGATTTGGCTTATCAATACAAAAGAATTGGTGAATTTGAAGTCTCTAATAAGGAATTCTTTTGCTAGTATTAATCGTAGGAGACATTATTCTAAGTATGAGCCATTCGTTCTTGCAATGCAAGCTTCTCAGGATTTAGCTATCCGTTTTCGAGAAGAGATGATTCATATAGCAAAGTGATTGACTTTCAGTTAGCAAAGTGAAGGCGAGACCTATTATAGAAGCTCCAAAAGTATCCAATGATGCAGCATTTCAAAATGATGATTCACATATTCATACATTAGACATAGTGTAATTGGATGATTTACTTGAAGCATTGAATGACCCGAGTGGTGCAAATATTGATATACAACAAATTGATGAAGAGGAAGAAGAAGAAACATATGAATATTCAACATCAGAGGCTGAAGAAGATGAAGATGAACTTTGTGAGAGTAGATATTGATTAAGCTCTGTAATAGATCAATTTCAGTGGTATTAGGGAATATGAACTTATGCTTTCTTTAAAAAAAAATTATTCTAAATACCATGTTATAACCAACTATATATTTGTTAACCTTTGAAATTGTTATTTTACTTTATATTCTAATAATTAATTGCACTTAAATATTTGATTGCTCAATTATTTGATAAATTTTTATGTAGTACACAACAATTACATATCATGGTGGGTAGAGGTCGAGGGAGGGATGGTGGTACTCAAAAACAATGTACTAATACAGATAGAGGTCAAAATGATCAAACATCAAGTAGTAGAGGGGTCATGCAATAGGTTGAGGCTTTGCTGCTCCTTGGAATGATCAGAATATGCCTTCAGTTCCACCTACAACAACACCATCTCACTCATCTCAGATGCTTCCACCTGTTGCACCTAGGAATGGTGCTTCAGCTTCTAGAGCACCATCTACATCCCAGTCAAGTCATCAGTTAGATAGTAGAAATGTCGGACTAGAAAATGAAACAATCTATGTCCAGATCATAGGAAAGGGGTATGTGGTTCATGTCTTTTTTTTTTTTTTTCATTTGTTCATTCTATGTTATATCATTATTGATGTAATATTGATGTTGCATTTTATGCACTTTGATTTATTAAACAAGTTGTATCCTTCTTCAAAATGTTCGCAAATGATGAATGATAGTTTTCAGGAGCATCATGATGAGTGTGGCATCAATTGGAAAGTGTTAGTGCTGAGATGAAGACAGATTTTGGAGTGAATTTTAGGTGAATTTATTTAACTTCTCAATAGGCTAGTTGAATTAAACCTAATACATAGAAATCGTCATGAATTTAGTTACTTGAAAATTATGACTGACTTGCCATTTCTGCTATAATAGTTGGTTACTTTAATTTTTTTCATATCAATTGATTCATGTCGTTAAAAATCACTTTTAATGTTTGTGATACAGTTTTTGATTTTAATAACTTCAAATGTTAATTTAAAATTTTATAGAAAAAATGCCAGTGAGATTTTGAATCGGAGGCAATGATAAAGCGAGCATGGTGTAGGCAAGCAGCACACAAGTATTCTGATTTTGTTTCTCAATTAAAGCGAAAAGGCAGAAAACCCTATATTAAAGGTCAAGTTTGGAAAAATTGGACTGAATATTGGAAGACTCCTGAGGCCATTTGGAAATCAGAGATATTTTCTAAGAATCATCAATCCAAGAAGGGTGGAGAAGGATCTAGTTTATCTCTCCACATTGGAGGCTCTATCTCAGCATTCGAACACCAACAATGCATCGTAAGCTCTATCGTATATGCTAAAAATATTTATCTCGAATTTCATATCTTTAGGCATTTGAAGTCAAATGGTTTCGCCAAAACAATAGGCTGATGGGACAGGTAAGGAGCCTACATTAGGGGAGCTTTTTGTGCACCTCTACACCAACAAACGAGATGGCAATAATAATTGGGTTCACAAACGCTCTAATGGAATCTTTGTAAGTCAATGTTATATTAAGTATAATGAATAATATCTACTTTATTATATGATTTTGTACTTTAAATATTATTGCAAATGCTTGTTTGAGTGTTTAATTCACTAATATCTTACAGGAAACATTACAAAAGAGGATCAAAGAGAGTGCCTCTGCCCATATAGAAGGATCAGAGCAAAATATTGTTGATAGGACACAAATTTTTCTTGAAGTTACAGGAGATTCTAACAAAAGGCATGTTTATGGGATTGGATCACAGGCATCGAGCTACTACTATGGCATGCTAAGCTCTAGGATGTTTGTTGCATTTACATTTGAGACTAGTGAGTTGTCCCAAACTCAAGCGAAGCAGATAGCCTCTTTGGAGCAAGAGTTTAAGGAACAAAAGGAGATGATAGAGCGAGAGCTTAAGAAGCAAAATGATATGATTCTCAGCTTAGTCGACATTTGCAAATGAATCGAGCTCCTGCGACCACAATGGGTGCACCAGATTCGTCTTTTGCTAATATTGACCCACCTGGTGTTGCTACTCAGTTTGCAATACCAAATAATGGTTCTGATCTTGCTAATGGTGGTAGATCTATGGGTGCAGAAGAGAGAGTTGCTCAGGAGGAGGATCGAGATGACGTTGGTTTGGATGATGATTAGTTTTAGCTTTTTGATAGGTGTTATTTTATAGTATTTTTAATATAGTTTTTATTAGGATTTTTAGTATTTTTTTTATTTACTTAAAATTATTTTTATTTAGTTTTAATTCTGTTTTTGTTCAAATCTTCCTTGAATCATAATTCACTTGATCTTAAGGAAATTTGTTGGGTTTTGGCACAGAAAAGAGCATAATAAAGCAAAACACTCAGGCTCTAGCACGATATGATTCTCAGCTTTAGTCGGGACATTTGCAAATGAATCGAGCTCCTGCCGACCACCAATGGGATGGCACCAGATTCGTCTTTTCTAATATTGGAACCCCACCTGCGTGTTGCTACTCAGTTTGCAATTACCAAATAATGGTTCTGATCTTCGCTAATGCGTGGATAGAATCTATGGCGTGCAGCAAGAAGAAAGAGAGAGTTTGCTCAGGAGGAGGATCGATGATGACGTTTGGTTTGGATGATGATTTAGTTTTAGCTTTTTGATGGTGTTATTTGCTATAGTATTTTTTATATAGTTTTATTAGGATTTTTTAGTATTTTTTAATTTACTTAAAAATATTTTTATTTTAGGTTTTAATTCCTGTTTTGTTCCAAATCTTCCTTGAATCATAAATCACTTTTGATCTTAAGGAAATTTGTTGGTTTTTGGCACAGAAAAGGAGCATAATTAAAGCAAAACACTCAGGCTCTTAGCACGCCCTGCCCGTACACATCAGCACGGCCATCTGGATTCAAGGAAAAAAATAAGGGTTGGACATAGGACATTCCCGAGACATTGGAGCGTAGTCCTAAGTATGTGACCGGATCCTAGTGCCACCATGCCAAAATTGAGGAACATCCACACAATCCCGAAGCGCGATGCTGATTCTTTTACAACGAGCCCCTGTGCTGAGCAATTCATCATGTGGAGAACTCAGAGCACTAGCACCGCCTCTAATAGTCCCGTGTCTATCGCTTTCAGCACGCCCATGCTGGATTCAAGGAAAAATTAAGTGGAGACTCAGACTTGGGCGTGCTATATGGCATGCCCATGCCAAAAGAGGACATCAACCCGATGGCATGCTTGCTTAAGCACGGCCTGTGCTACATCTCATCATGGAGACTCAGAGCCTAGCACGCCTTAGCCGTGTTATGTGGCACGCCCATGCCACAAATCCTTATCTTGGCGTGCCCTTAAGCACGGCCCGTGCTAAACCTTCCTTGGAACTCAGGCTTCGGCACGCCCTGACCGTGCCTCATAGCACGCCCGTGCTACGAATCAAGTGCTATTTTGAGTCGAGAACGCAAACAAGTCCTTATCACTTACATGGGTCCACCTGAGATATTTTCCTAACATGCAAATCAAGTTCTAATCCTATTTAGGCACATAGAAGAGTCCTAATTGAGAAGAAATTCAAAGCCTAAACAGTTTCCTATTTCCAAAAAGATTTCTTACTTAATGAGGTCTCTATTTCCTAAACGAAGTCGGATTTTCTCCCAAGAAATCTATATAAAGAGGAAAGTCATTCATTGTATATTCCATTTCTTATTCTATTATTTTCTATATAGTTCTCTCTCTCCCCAAGACTTCAAGCATTCGAGATTTGTGTCAAGATTCAAGGAAGCCATCCACATTATTTGTTGCCTAGTTTTTATCTCTAAACTCTTAATCTTGTTTTTACTTTTCATTATTCACATTTTTTATTATAACTTGTTAGCAATAAATTCACATTTGAATTAGTGCTAAGTTATTTTCAAAGGTTTATTGAGTTTTATTTAATTATTATGTCGTAACTAAAATTTTGTCTCATTACTTAGGCGATATTGTCAATGTTAGCTATACATTTTACCTTTTTTTGCCCAATTTTAATAATGTATCAGATTTGCTGTTCTTTGAGTTCAAAGTACAAATTCTATTATTGAACTGAATGCTTCCAGCAGAGTTTCTTCCCTGGATTGATTTATTTCATTAATCACTATCAGGAGAAGGGTTTTATAGAAAAGGTAATAAATTACATGAGAATAAATCAGGAGAAGGGTTTTTTATATGAAAAAGGTAATAAATTACATGAGAATAATAACTTGATGTGGAAGCTATATGGTTTGACTTATGGGAGTTTTCATAAGTTAATGACCTTAGGTTATGAATTTACAAAACAAACTATAAAACTTAATGATTTAATTCATGTTCGATTGCGCTATTGGAAGATAGATAATTAGGCCGGGTTAAAATAGCTAACAATACATCGGAAGAGCTTGTTAGTGATTTTAGGGTTGTTTCCCCTACTTGAACAATTAAAATTTGTTATCAAACTAATAAAATAAATTGGATAGAATTAAGTGAAGTCAAAATCCCTAGTAGTTTTTAATCCTTAGTTTCTTTTAATCAAAAATTGCCTTGCTTGATTTCTTTTTATTATCTTTTATTTGTTGAATTTAATTTCTTAAAATAATTTCTCTAAATTGTTGCTTGATTTCTTTTTATTATCTTTTATTTGTTGAATTTAATTTCTTAAAATAATTTCTCTAAATTGCCGTTTAAATAATAGTAGGTTAACATAATTTTGGTACTTGGTACACAATCCTCATGGGAACGATACTCTACTCACTCTTTATTACTTGTTGCGATTTCATACACTTGCGAAAATCACTGTCACTTTTATGTACAATTTGTTCTAAATAGTTCACTTTGATCTTTTTTTAACTTATCGTATAAGACAGGATGAAAATAACTAGATGAATGTTGCGATATTTTGAATGACTATTATTATGGATATTATTATATTGCACGTTTATGATAATTTGAATGGCTTTATTTTATATCGGTCTAAAAATATTATTTTGCTATAAAATAGGGTTTTTTACAAGTTTTGAGTGGCATTTCAAATTGAAAATTTTAAGTTCTCTTAAATACTAGCTGATTACATTTAATTTTCAACTTTCTGAAGTCTTTCTTTAGAAATTTATGCTTTTTAGCAAACTTTTCAAATTCAGTGCAAAGGTTATTATAAGTATCTAGAAGATCACTTTCAGATTCAAGTTCAAAGATACTTACATTGCTTAAAGATACTTACATTGCTTTTCATTCATTACCTCTCTTGGCCCCTCGGCTGCATTCTGGCCTACGGTACTTTTACTGCTTTTTCTGTGTGTTCAGTCAATTAGTGCTGATTTTCTTTGGAATTTATGCTTTTTAGCAAACTTTTCAAATTCAGTGCAAAGGTTATTATAAGTATCTAGAAGATCACTTTCAGATTCAAGTTCAAAGATACTTACATTGCTTTCATCATACTTTTGGCCGGCTGCATCTGCCTTGGTACTTTCAGCTTTCTGTGTTGAAGTCAAAGTGCTGATTTCTTTGGAGTTAGAATCAGTAATGGCCATTAGACAGATATTTGAAATTTCCTCCTGGTCACTTTGACTTTCAGAATTAGAATCGTCTGAGTCACTTCATGCAGCTACAAATACCTGCTTCAGCTTTTCTTTCTTTGACTTCTTTTTCAGTTTAGGACAATTAGGCCTGATATGACCGGGCTTGTTGCACTCATAACAAATCACTTCAGAAGATTCTTTCTTAGGCAAGTTACTATTTTTAGGTGAAAAGTTCTTTTTGATAAACTTTTTCTATGGCCTTTCACCTTTCTTATAGAAATTTTTGAACTTTCTAACAACAAGAGCTAGATCATCACTATCAAGATCATAAGAACTTTATTCACTAGAAACTACTCAAAGCCAGTCCTTTCCTTTTCTTATCTTCTACAGTCAAAGAAGATTCTCTTCTGAAACAAGAGCTCCCATCAAATAATCATAGTTTACTGGAGTCTCCTTGCGGTTCATAACAGTTCCTATAAAATCCTATTTTTTTGGTAGAATTCTAAAGATTTTCTTAACAAGTTCATCTTCTGAAATTTCCTTTCCAAGAGTTTTCAAATGATTAACTATATTTGTGAATCTAGAATTTAGTTCAGCTATAGTCTCTCCTTCTTTCATACTAAACATTTCATATTCTCTCAAAAAGATATTAATTCTAGATTCCTTAACTCGGTCAGTACCCTTATAGGTAACTTTAAGTTTTTCCCAGACTTCCATTGCGGACTTACATCCAAAAACTTTGTTGTGTTCTGTCGGATCTAATGCAAATTGAAGAATATTGATGGCGTTTGTGTTTATAGAAATGTCATTCCAATCAGCATCAATATACTCTTCTTCAATCTTTCGAACTCTTACGTTTTTTACAGTTTTCATAGAAATGCGAGGACCAATAATGATGTTCCTCCAGCAGTTTATATCAACTGATTTTATAAAATTTTCCATTCTAGTTTTTCGGTATGAGTAATTAGAACCATTGAATAGAGGTGGTTTAGAAATAGATTGACTTTCTAAAGATGTAAGAGGAAGTAGGGCTGGCATGGGATCTTTTTTCTTAAGCAGTTAAGCTTCGGTAAGTCAAGAACCAAAGCTCTGATACTAGATTATGGGTCCCATTTATTATGGCACAACCCAAGAGAATGGTGAATTAGATTTTCTAAAAATTTGACTTTCAAAACTCAAGATCAGAATTCTGTTGCAGCGGAAATAGAAAGCATTTGTGAGAATCAATTATTAAGTTTAGAACTTTATCACAAAGCTGTTGCAAGATTAGAAAGACTCTATGAAGAATAGTTATTGTGTTTAGAACTACTTCACAAAGCTTATGCAAGATTAGAAAATTGCTTAAAATTCAGATTGTGATTTATACTGAATATAAAAGGACAAATTAGACATTGGTATAATCACAATACAAAAATTTAGAGTTCTAATGTTCCATAGAGATAAAACTCAAAGC